AAACCATGACAATGATGGATAGCTTTTGTATAAGTATGTCCCATGCAATATTTGGGGTATGCTTATACTAACTGTATATGTGTATATATATATATACACACAAACACGTGTGTGTGTGTGCGTGTGTATATGTGTGTATATACTTGTTGTTTATCCGACATTCGAGTTTAACTGGGCCTCCTATATTTTACCTGGCAATGCTAGACACACAGGGCCTCACCTTGGGCCCAACCGTAACCGACTTCTCCAGCCTTCTCAGTATTCGGAAGGACTTCTGACTGCTGAAGGTCCCTGGGTGGCACAAGTGGTTTGCAATCAGCTGCTAACCTAAATGTTGCTGGTTCAAACCCAACCAATAGCTCTGGGGATGAAAGGCCTGGTGATCTACTCCTGTAAAGGTCACAGCCAAGAAACCCCTGTGGAGCTCAGTTCTGCTCTGTAACACATGGGGTCACCATGAGTTGGAGTTGACTTGATGGCAACGAGTTTGGTTTTGGTTTTTTGAGTGCTGGGTCTGACCTTAAAGATCACCCCCTCTGAGCCGCTCCCCAGTAAGTAAGGCCCAGAGAGGGAGGCATGGCTCCGACGGGCCAGAAGCCAAGTCTGCTGGACCCGAGTAACACTGTAGCCCCACAGCCCCGTGGGGACGTGGGCCAGTCTGAATGCTTTTACTCCGCACAAATTTGACTTTTAAATCCACAGCCCAGGAGACACAGATTCACTTGTGGCTGGGCCAGGAGCCTGTAACAGGCACCAGGAATGGCTTCTAAAGAGGAGGGCCTCACGGAGGCCGGGATCTCCCCACAGGCCCACTTCACCGAGTCTCCACAAACAAACGTCTCTCAGTTCCTCTCCTCTGAAAAGTACCATTGTTCAGGATAAGATCTGGCAACGGGGCTTTAAAGATTTCTCTTTGAAAGCATTTTCTGTTCCTTTCTCCGGGGAGGCTGGCTTTGGGGAGATTTATGTAACCTCCACCTCCTCAGCAGAAACAGATGGGGACCTGGAGGCTTCCCCCTCCTCAGAGAAGCTCCAGGGGAGGGGTGGGGGCTTCATGGCCCCCCAGAGACAGCGCCCCAGTGTCCATGGCAGCCCACCCCTCCTAGACCCCCTCCCTCAACACACTCGGTCTCCAAGTACCACACAGCCCCAATCCTGAGGGAGGAAGACCCCCGGGGGCTGAGGTATATCCTGGGTTCAGAGAGCTTTAGTTCAATAGTGATGATGGTAGCTATCATATGTGGGACGCACCCCAATGTTCAAATGTTCAAAGCACTAGTTTCAATTTTATAAAATTTTAAAATATACCAAAAAGTCACAGACATCCTCATACCCACTGAGCAGACTAGACCCATGTTGAATACTTCATGTGTGCCTCGTCTTTTCTTCTGATAAAATATTACAGGTGAAATGAGTCTCTGCCCTCCAGCGCCCCCTTTCTCAGGGACAGCGGCTACCTGGAGCCTGGTTCATGTAGTCACAATCCATGTTTATATTTTGTTTATATTTTTACTTACGTAGACTGGATCCATGCATAACACAGTGGTATTGTGTGTGTGTGTGTGTGTATTTAATTTCAGGAATGGTACCTGAGGTTATTTTGGGACTCGCCTCTCTCTCCCAGACAGTGTGAGAGCCTCCCAGCAGCCCCCTCCATGAGGCAGTTTTATTATATTTTCCTGTTTTTAAGTGACAAACCTGAGTCTCAGAGAAGTAAGAAAGGGCCTTGGAGATGAGCCAACGGGGAAGCATTGGTTCTGAGACTAAAGACACAGTCTGTCGACTCCACATCTCACCACGCCCTCAAGATTTCTGCCGATGGTTCTCGACTCCATTCTTTCACGTGTTTTTATTTCAATTTTATGAGGGTAAAAAACACAGCAATCGTTAGAAAAGGTCATCATGGTTGGTAAAGTAGATGGTCCTCAAAAGCAAGGGAAACCCTCAGTAAGATGGACTGGCACCATATTCACAGCAATGGACTCAGACATACCAACCATTAGGAAGATGGCGCAGGACCAGGCAATGTTTCATTCTGTTGTACATAAGGTCGCCATGAGTCGGAGCCAACTAATCGCAGCAACAACACACACACACACACACACACACACACAGATATATATAAAACAAAAAGATTGCCATCTTAACCATTTTAAGTTTTCAATTCAGTGACATTAATTTCTTTCACCATGTTGCGCTACCATCACCAATGTCCATTTCCAACAGTTCTCCATCACCCGAAACCAACTCAGCACCCCTTCAGCGATGACTCCCCTTCCCTCCTCCCCCCAGCCTCTAGGGACCACTAATCAACTTTTGTCTCTACGTATTTGCCTCTTCTAGATATTTCGTACAAGTGGGATCCCACAATATTGGTCCTTTTGTGTCTGACTTTTACTCAGCATAATTTTTTCAAGGTTATACACGTCACAGTGTGTTCCAGAACTTCATTTATGAAGTTTATGGCTAAATGACGTTTCCTTGTATTATATACCACATTGTGTTTATCCATTCATCTGTTGGTGGACACTTGAGTTGTTTCCATCTTTTGGCTATTGTGAATAATGCTGCTATGAACACTGGTCTACAGGTATCTGTTTGAGCCCCTGCTTTCAAGTCTCTAGGGCATATACTTAGGAGTGGAATTGCTGGGTCATGTGGTAGTTCTATGTCTAACTTTTTGAGGAACCGCCAAACTGTTTTCCACAGCAGTTACATCATTTTACACTCCCACCAGCAATGCCTGAGAGTTCTAATTTGTTCACATTCTCTCCAACACTTGTTAGTTTCCATTTTTGCTGACCATAGCCATCCTGGTGAGTGTGAGTTGATATCTCATTGTGGTTTTGATTTGTATTTCCCTAATGACTAACAACCTTGAGCATCTTTTCACAGGCTTGGTGGCCATGTGACATCTTCTTGGAAAAATATCTATTCAAGTTCTTCGTCCATTTTTTCATTGGGTTGTTTGTCTTTTTGCTGTTGAGTTGTAAGAGTTCTTTATGTACTCTGGATATTAACCTCTATCAGATATATGATTCCCAGATGCACCACAGTTTTTTTAGCATCTGCTCTGTTCTAGGCGTTGGGAATACTGCAGCAAACAGGAAAAGTCCCATCTTCATGGAATTTGTCCTCAAAGAATATAGTCTTCATAAATAACCTTGGACCTGGTTCCTCCTTTTAACAATCCAACAAGTGTTTTTCTGATCTTGACTTGAACTTCTCCTCTGATGGGGAAATGAGGCCCCCTATGTCATCCTTATTGTTAGTGTCTACCTTGGTAAGGGGAAGCTTGTTTTCTTGTTCTGCCTCCTTGGGCCATACTCTTTTCTGCATGATATCCCTCCTGGTATTTGAAGTTAGTGGTTGTACCCCCAAAATCTACTTTGAGTGGAAATCTCATCCAAAGATGCCATTCACAGGGGGCTAGTGACTACATGGTCCACTGGTATGAGAAGACCCGTTTGCTGGAGTCCATCTGTTGCAACCACTGTGTATTTTGAGTGCCTTACAACCTAGGGGGCTGGTCTTCCCACACTATATCTGATAGTTTCTGTTATGATCCATAGGGTTTTCATTGGCTAATTTTCAGGAGTAAATCAGCAGGCCTTTCTACCTAGTCTGTCTTCGTCTGGAAACTCTGCTAAAACCTGTCCAGCGTAGGTGACCTTGCTGGTATTTGAAATACTGGTGGAATAGCTTCCAGAATCGTAACAACATGCAAGTCACCACAGTACAACAGACTGACAGAAGATGTGGCAAGTGTACGTACAAGGACGTTTATAAGTGCATTATTAATAACACAGAAAAATGGAAATACCTAAATATTAAACTCTAAGGGAATGGTGAAATTATGGCATGTATTTATGACAGAATATTATGCAATGGTATCTTTATGGACGCAGATAGTATTTTTTAATGATGCAGGAATATTAAACCACATGTTGGCATGTGTTCGTTCTCTCTCTCTCATACACACACACACCTACACACACAAAAAGACTGTTGTTGTTAGTTTTCATTGAGTCAATTCTAACTCATGGCAACCCCACGTGTGCAGAGTAGAACTACTCTACAGGGTTTTTAAGGCTGTAATCTTCGGAAACAGATCACCAGGCCTGTCTCCCGAGGCGCCTCTGGGTGGGTTTGAACCACCAACCTTTTGGCTAATAGTTGAGTGTTTAATCATTTGTGCCACTGAGGGACCTTAAAAAAGACTGGAAAGAAAAATATGTTGATATGTTCATATCAAAATATGAACAGTATTTATCCCAAAGTGTTGGGATTGTGATTTTCATTTTCTTCTTTATCCTCCTTTATATTTTCTTAATGTTTTCTGCTGAGTGTCTATATTACTTTTAAAATTAGAGAGGAGACTAAAGGCATTCTTACCAGTCTGTGGTGTAGTGGGAAGGGCCTAGCATGGAGAGGGAGAGGCCTGTACTTCCTAATAAGTGACTATCGGATGAGCCGACGAGCCAATCTCGACCTCAATGGCCCATCTGTAAAATGGGGGTGAGTGTCAGTCTCAAAAGGTTCGTCCAAAAAAACCAAACCAAAACCATTGCTGTCGAGTCGATTCCGACTCATAGCGACCCTGTAGGACAGAGTAGAACTGCCCCATAGGGTTTCCCAGGAGCAGCTGGTGGATTCAAACTGCCAGTCTTTTGGTTAGCAGCCAAACGCTTAACCACTGTGCCACCAGGGCTCCAAAAGGTTGTTAGGAACATTAATTTTTACAGATTGAAATATACGCCTTAAATTGTAAAAAACCAAAGCAAAACCCTTGCTTTGCAGCCACTAGTAGAAGTTATATGACTCCCCTAGTGGCGCGACTGACTAAGCTCTCGACTACAACCAAAAGGGTGGTGGCTCGAACCCACCCAAAGGCACCTGGGAAGACAGGCCTGGGAATCTGCTTCCAAAAGGCCACAGCCTTGAAAAGCCTGTGGAGCAATTCTACTCTGCCACGCATGGGTCACCTTGAGCTGGCGTCAATGGCGACTAACACCTCAACAGTAACCAAGTACAAGTTACGGTTTTGTGCGGGGTTGCTCCACCAGGCAGGTTTCCCTAGGCGAGGGCAGTTCCTCCCCAGCCCCCACAGGCTGCGCTGTGTTGTTGTAAGCAGCTGTCAAGTCACTCTGACTCATGGCAATCTACGTACAACAGAACGAAACACATGCCATCTTCATGATCATTGGTATGTTTAAGTCCATTGTTGTGGTCATTGTGTCCATCCATTTCACGGAGGCCCTCCCTCACCTTCGACGGTCCTCTCCTTTACCAAACATGATATGTCCTTCTCCAGTGATTGGTCCTTCCTGACAAGGCATCCAAAGTAAGTGAGTCAAAGTCTCCGACAACATTCTGTTGTGATCCACAGGGTTTTCATTTGCTAATCTTCCGAAGTAGATCTCTGGGCCTTTCTTCCTAGTCTGTCTGTCTGGAAACTTGGCTGAAATCTGTCCACCATGGGTAACGTAGCTTCCAGCATCACAGCAACACACAAGCCGTACTGTAGTCCCTGCTTAACTCTCTCTCTCCTCCTTCACAGCTGCCCATGATGGGAGGCGCTTTCATGGACTCACCCAACGAGGACTTCAGCACCGAGTACTCCCTCTTTAACTCCTCCACCAATGTCCACACAGCCTCCAACGGCCAGCCAGAGGAGCCCCCACGGTCCTCCAACGATGCTGTCTTGCTCTGGATTGCCATCATAGCAACGCTGGGGAACATTGTGGTGGTGGGGGTGGTGTACGCCTTCACCTTCTGAAGAACGGTCACCTTGGGCCGAGCTCAGGGCCCGGCCTGGCTTCGCAGCTGGTCATGTCTTGCTGTTGGTATTCGGCTGCTCCCACATTGTAGAACCGAAAGTTTTGACCAGGCACATGGCCTCTGCAGTTGCAATGACCACGCGTCCAGAATTTCTCCCAGTGGCCCTGGTTTCAGATAGCCCAGCGTCAAGCTGATTCAGGAAGCTTGGGAACACAGGTATTCAGCTCCCTGGGGCAGGACACGGGCAAGGCCTCGAAGAGCAGAGTGGGGAATTTTGGAAACCGCATTCCAAGCAATGAGGCCAGACGGAGCATCCAGTTACGTTTAAGATAGAGACATGGTTTGGTGATCTCTGGCGGCAAGTAATCACGCTTGTATCTTGTTTTTATGCAGACTGGTCTGACCTGGTGGGCAGGCTCTGGTGGTGGTTTTTGTCTGCAGAGTGGACTTTCCCTTCCTTTTTAGGAAGAAGACAGGCTGTCTTTAGAAATTCAATCCACCAGGCAGTTAGTTCACTTTCCAGGCTACCGAAGTGAAGATGTTCTTCTCTGAAAATTCATGGGATTTTTGAGATGAGTAAAGTGGGGTCCACCCGATCGTGTGACGGTGGGACCGAGGGGGTGGGATTGCCTACATCCCAGGGCAGGTTAATGGAAGAGTTGGAGCAGAAGGGACGCTTCCTAACTCTCACTCAGGGCTCTCTCTGCCCTAGCCAGGCCCTCTCTTGATCAGGTCTGTCTTCCCAGCTGTATGGATGGAGAAGCTGCCCTTCGAGAGAATTTCCAGAGCATCTTGAAGCTGCATGCAAGAGGGAGGTTTAGACCCTAGATTTTAACCTCCGATTTCGATACCGTGCTGTCTTGCAGGTGTGACTGTGTTTCTGCCTGAGTTAGTGTTCCTCAAAAAACTCGTTGCCGTGGAGTCGATTCCGACTAATAACAACCCTATAGGACAGACTAGAACTTGCCCCATAAAGTTTCCAAGGCTGTAGTCTTTACGCCAGCAGATTGCCAGGTCTTTTCTCCCTCGGAATGGCTGGTGGGTTTGAATAGCCAACCTCTTGGTTAGCAGCTAAGCCCCCAACCACTGTACCACCAGGGCTCTTAAAAATCAGTGGCTCAGAGCCCTGGCCATCAAGGAAGCTCCCCAGTAAAGGCAAAGCCGGCTGGGACGTGCTGGGGGAGCAGTGTCGGAAAGGGCCCACTTTCTTCCCGCCTTAGGAAGGATCATTGCCCCAGTGCTCCCCCACCCCTGCAAGGCAGCCCTCCCCTGTAAAGCCAGAGTGACTTCCTCCCTCCTCTTCGCTACGCTGTAAAAACAAAAATTAAAAATCCAGTTGCTGTCCAGTCAACTCTGACTCCTGGTCACCCCACGTGTGTCAGACTGGAGCTGTGCTCCACAGGGTTTTTAATGGCTGATTTTTCGGAAGTAGATTGACAGCCCTTTCTTCTGAGGGGCCTCTGGGTGGACTTGAACCTCCAACCTTTCAGTTAGCAGCTGAGTGCGTGAACCGTTTGTACCACCCAGGGACTCCAAAAAGGAAATAAATGGCACAGATTCCCCCTCTGTGAATGCGAAACGATCAATAATCTCTTGTGTGTGTTTGGGGACAATTGCCACTGTGGTCTCAGGAGGAATGAGTGTTCTTGATGACAGGTGAAGGGACGTCATAATTGTCCAGGGGCAGCCACTCATCTCAGGAGGCTGTCAACGAGCTGCCATGGTAACAGGATTATCAGCCCAGCCTCCAGACAGTGCTGCTGCCTGCTGCCAGCTCTTATTGGCCGCGTCTGTCACCCGCAGCCAAGTGTCCACCCCCAGAAGCTTCAGCTTCAAGTGGAGGCCAAGAGTGCAGAAAGCCGTCTGACGTCTGCAGCGAGGGAGGAGGGCCGCAAGACTGTGGGTCTGGGGAGCCTTCTGGAACCATCGAACTCTGCTGAACCAGCCCTGAGGCTGCGGTGGGTAATTACTCAGCCCTTGCGTGCAGTGGGGCTCCAGTAAACCCCGCCCCATCCAGCCCTCATGTCTACCCCAGAAGCAGAGTCTGTCTGAGGGGCACCTTCATGGGTCACCCCAGCCCCAATGCTCTCTGACTTTCCCTCCCGGGAAGCCTCCAGCCCTTGAAAGACAAGGCGACTGCCCTTGTTCTCTAACCAGCCAATGGAGGTGGCATTCTGTCTGCCGTGATGGAAAGAGCAGGAGGGGAGAAAAAGACAGCTTCTGCCTCTAAAGAGGCTTCAGCATCCCAGAGCAGCCCTGGTGGACAGGGTGTTCCGCTGGCACTTCTGGCCCCATGAAGTTTTGTTTCCCAATGTAAATGTCCCTTAAACTAATGTTCAAGTCTTGCTCCCTTCTCAACATCAGGGCCATCGATGGGGAGGCGTGTTAGAAGCCACCTTTCCCAAACCTTCCGTCACACGGATGACTAGGACTTGCTCTGTGTCACTCGATCTCAGCCTCCTATGACCTCTTTACCTGTTTTTCCTGCCATCAGTCAGAGAGCAATGAAGATGGATGTGCGTTCAGCACCTGATTAAGGAGTAGAGGTGGATTCCAGCCAGCAGGTGAGCTGCACCTTCCCTCCTGTCTTGGATGTTAGGAAAGGGGAAAAGAGACCGAAGGTCACTGCTTGAGCCTGTGTGCCAGACGCTGAGCTAGGTTCACATATACTTATTTCGCCCTTAAATGTACGGGCAGCATCTGTTGCTCAAATACCCGCATAAGGAACCAGAGGCTCAGAGGAGTGAAGTGACCTCCCCCGGCCCCACCACATGCAAGTGGCTGGGCTGGGATTTGAACCTAGAACCATCTGGCTCTAAAGTCAGGCTCCTTCTTCGACATCTTGGGGCCCTTAGTGGCTAAATAACACCTCCAGAGCACATTTAAAGATACTCCCTGTGTATAGAGGCTGTTCCCTGAGGTTCATGTCACCGTGTAGTCTGGGCAAGCTCCGGCTTCCACAGGGGGAGTTCCTGGCCTTCCTCAGACTGGAGCAGGTGCTTCCCCTGCCCGGTGCCCCCTCATCAGGCTTCAGGGGTGCTGGCCAGGGGGGCTTAAATGCCTGCCCTGTTTAAAGTTGAGCACAAGTCCCCAGAGAGGTTCCCAGAAACCAGCTTTCCAAGGTCACATGCAGACAGGGACCCCCAGGCTGAGACCAGGGAGCCCAGCGGAGGGAGCCACATGGAATGCGGCTCGTTGCAGCCAGCGCTGCTGAGCGGAGTCGAGGGAGTCAGTTCTGCAGGTCCGGCCCCAGCCGGCGGTCAGGCCTTTCACTGAGCCTCAGACTGCTGCAGAGAGGGAGGTGGCGAGGCCTCAGCTTCGGGCTCCATCTGGCTTCTGCCTGGGTAGGCTGGCCCCAGAGGCCCCCGTGATTTGACGAGTTGGTGCTGAGGGAAAAGGGGGCTTGCCTCTCCATGGTATGCCCCTCATAGAAGGGTCCTGCATTTGCTGGAATGTTCTCTGAGTGTGCCCGTCCGTGATCCCTCTATTTTCCCTCTGCAAGCCCTGGATGCCCCATAAAAAAAAGCAGCCCATTGCCATCGAGTGACCCCCGTGTGTCAGAGTAGACTGTATCCCTGTGCTTTATTTCCATCTGTATGTGGGACTCTTTCCACTCGAAAGAGCAACGCGCTGTCTGTGAGGCCAGGAGTGGCCGTCCCTGGAGTCCTGAGAGGTGGTAAAAGCGCTCTCGCCTCCTGTAGGGGCTGGCCAGATGATGGCACAGCCTGTCCCTGCCCTGAGTCATTGCTTTCTGGCCCCTTTTCCATGAAAGCAAGGTTGAGAGGCGAATGAGGCTCCCCCGCCCCAAGGACAGATGATTACATCTCCATGTGTCCCCACAACCCGAGGAAGAAAGGAAGGGAGGACAGCTCGTACCACTTACCTGGAGTGGCAGCAGGCCCTTCCCAACCCCACTGTAAATGGAAGGCTTGGATGGCAGCCAAACCCATTAACGGCTGTCACGATCCCTCTCTAGTGGCTGGAAGGACGTGACTGTGTCTGTCGTCTGTTGCTGCTGCCTGATTTCTCCAAGAGAAATGGTGTTTTCTTTCTTCGGGAGTGTGACCTGCAGTTACTGGTATTAGTAAGACTGTGCTTAGCTGTTTTCTGACAGCTGCTGTTTCTGGAGCCCGTTCCTCATGCTGTGCTCTATTTAATCTCATTTAATTCTCAGAGCAACCCTAGGGGCAGGGGTGAGGTTACAGAGGTGCATATTAATTATTGTCCCATTTTTATGTTGAGTAAACTGAGGCCAGGTTGTGGGCCTGAGGACCCGCCTCTGAGGAGTGGGGGCTGGGATTCAGCTCTGTCCTCTATCGCTGGCTGGGTGGTTACCCCCTACATCTTCCACCAGCCACAATCATAATCAACCCCTCTGAAATGGACCATCCCTGGGGCAGTGGCTGGGGCTGAGGTTTGCATCCTGGAGAGCCTGTGACCAGATTCCCTATTTCAAGTCTCATTCCCAGAAAAAAATCCTCTCCCCTCCACGTTGGTCAGTAGGGCCGGGCTGCAACACACATTTATCAGCGGCCTTAGAGATCATCCACCCCTGGGGTCACAGTGGTTAAGAGCTCGGCTGCTAACCAAAAGGTCAGCAGTTTGAATCCGCCAGCTGCTCCCTGGAAACCCTACAGGGCAGTAGTACTCCGTTCTATAGGGTGGCTACAAGCGGGGATCGACTCAGTGGCAACGGGTTTGGTTTCTGGTTTAGAGAGCTTTAAGTCAGGGCCTCTGGGTGAGTCCTTGGGTGACACAAAGGTTAAGTACTAGGCTACTACCTGAAAGGTTGGCGATTCGAACCCACTCACAGGCACCTCGGAAGACAGGCCTGGTGATCTGCTTCTAAAAGGTCACAGCCTTGAAAACCCTGTGGAGCACAGTTCTGCTCTACACATATGGGGTTGCCATGAGTCGGAATTGACTCCATGGCAACTAATAACACTCAGAACCTTTCATTTTCAAGGAAGGCAGCTGAAGCCACGCACTAAGTGGACG